GAAAAATAAAATAGAATTTCTTGGAATTGGACCACCTCTAAATCCCAACCACTTTAGAAACAGAAACTACAGCGACTTAGAAATCCAACCTCCACCTCTTCAGGTTCACCCCGCAAAGCGACACCGAGGGGACGCGGGGCGAGCACAGGTGTCCTCTGCTTTTTCATTTTGTGTTCAGTTCGTTTTCCAGTTCTGTTAATTTACGAGAGGCTTTTACTTTATTAGACACGTCTTGACCTTGTGAAAAAAGACGCTGGCGCTCTCTGAATGTCAAGTTTTCAGGGGCTCCCGAGCTTCCAGGTACATCTGCATCTTGGCTGCATTAGAGGGAAACGCAAAAGATTACTGGTCGAAATGGAAATAACTTGTCAACAAGTAGGTCAGTTTATGTTAATGGACAATTAAGTAAAATTTTAGTGAGAGAGACTCATTCTTTGTTAAATTTTGCCATAGCCTTTCCTATAATTCAAGTCATCGGGGTTGTATATAAACCCATGCAGAAAAAAGGGCCAAATATCCTCCTTACTAAAATGTTAATTTTTTCCAGTCACATCTAACTCTCAAAAGTCTTCAGTGACTTCCATTTTAGCAAGCAGGTAATTCTGAATAAATTTAACTAAAGGGGTGCGGCTTTAAAAGGCAGGACGCTAACAAATCCTACGTGTCTGAGAGGTGCTGGCCAGGTGTGTAACGGAGTAAGAAGTTATATAATAGTGAGATACAAAGGGTTTTCTGGGTTAGTTCAGCCTATATGTTTTAAGAACTCTTTGGGCAACAGTACTTCTGACTAAAATCGAGGCAAGCACCCTCAGTGAAGACAGTAGCCGGTTCCCTTGGCGCCCCCCTCAGGGTTGGCCTGAAGGCAGGACAGACATCTGGACACTGCCCAGAATTTCCCACCTTCTTGACAGAAGCAAACTTGTCCCACTGAGTCTAAGTCCCAACCGGTGCACCTGCGGCCTGCACCACGGTCTGAAACAACGATCATACATCACAACACAAAATAAAAAAGCTTCTATGCTCACGCGATTTTGTACGACGATGAAAACCTGAGCTGACAATGAAGTCCAGCCAGCACACAGGTAAATACCTTTTAGACAGCCTCTCTCTTGGATCCCGATAGGCATCATGGGCACCGATGAGAATCCCAGTAGATCCCATGTAAGAGTTTGGTCCTTTTCCATAAAAGAAAAAGTCAAGTTAAAACACCTGCATTATTCCCCAAACTTTACTCATGATCAAGAGGCAGTGCCCACAGAATCAGACGCCTTTAATTATCGAGCAAAGCAGGAGGCTCTTCAGATTAGATAAAAGCTCCCTCAATCTGAAACCCCCGTCCATCCGAGTGGCCTGAGTAATCCAGTCACCAGTGTCACAGCTGCTGAGTAGCTGGCCTCATGCCCTTTGGATTTATTAAAGAGGAGATGGCACGGGCCTTAGGTAGTGACAGCCAAAACGTTCAAATCAGATCAAGTGTGTAACTATCATAAATTCAGAAGAAAAGTCCACAGGATCTGACTTAAGTGGAGAGACAGCAAAACTCTCCGACTCCCAACACTAAGCATTTTCCCTCAGGATGGCTGACATCAGATGCAGTGATCTTAACCTGCAGACTAAGACGGAATCACAGGACTCAAGGTCCTCTTTTCAGGATAGCTACTGAATTTTTTTCAAAATAAATGGCTGTTATTAAAACAACACTTTTTGAACAAATGAACTGTCAACGCCCCCTAGCATCGACACTAGCGCCAGACGCGGGGTGAGACAAAATGAAAACCAGAGCCAGAGCAGCACGTGAGGGTGGAGCTCGGCCTGCGCCCGGCCCAATGACCCCGCTGAGCCGGCCGCCGCCACTGCCCATCGGCTCCAAGGGCTGCGGCAGGTCCAGAGGCGACACAGACGCAGAGCTTTAAATGTACCATGTAGTAATATGGCCACTAAGGAAATATTGTTAAATCGTGATGTATGAGAACAGTACTAACGTATTTCTATTAAGTGTACCATCAGCAAGAATAAGAAAAATTCACTTAAAAGAATCTTTTGCTTATGGTAATATGTGCTGGTGCAGTAACAACCAATGCTGACAGCGGTGGGGACTGGATTAAGTGGGCCTCACGATAATCACAAGATCCCCAGGCGGAAATCACCCCTCAGACAAGCTGCACAAACACGAACTGGATGCTTCTATGTAGACACGGATCTGACGTGTCTGAGGCAGTCCCGCTGCTTCTGGGCGGCGTCTCTCCTGATCACTCAGGGCGGGTTTCCGAGGCACCACCGCACGGAAAGTCGCTCGGCTCAGCAAAGGCTCAAAAGATCGGACAGAAACCCAGCCCTCTCTAACTGAAGGTAATCGACAGCAGGCCTTTCGATAAATTATCTGCACAGTGGGCTTTTTTCAATTTAATTCTAAATTTTTAATTCATTTTGTTTTTTAAAATATTGTGTTGTATCTTTTGAGCTTTGTTTTAAGATACTTGTTTCTTCCACTGGTACAAATCAATTTTTCAAACTTTTTAGAGTTAATCGGAATAACAAATACTTTCAGCTGACTGCGCATGAATTAGTACTACACATTGCAAATCATCTTCAAAGAGCTTCAGTAAGGGCTGTTTTGAGTGCATCGTTGTGCTGAAACGGAGCGTTCTGCGCTCTAATCCACATCCTGGTTCCCCCCCTACAGCTCCCAGTGGAAGAAGCCAAGTGCGTCCGCAGGACCACGCTTCCCAGAGCGCCCGCCCAGAGCGCCCGCCTGTGACAGGGAGGACCTGGCCAGAGGGGAGGGGCGGGGCCAGCGGGACGGCAGGCGTGAGGTCAGGACCCACTCTGCACTCGGGGCGCCAAAGACGTGCGAATGCAGGGTGTAGCCTGCTCCCACGTGGACCTCAGGTGGGAGATAAGACAGGGTTACCGGTGTGACCGAAAGCCAGGCCGGTTAGAGGGGAGACTCAGCTAGTGTCCCGTTACCAAACTCAGGTTCATTTTGTCACACAGAAATTTTACAAATTTACAACAGGAGTTTCGGCTTCTGAGTGACTACGTAAATGCTGCACACTGAGCCCTCCAAGTGGATGAAGGCTGAGCCCGCGGGCTTGGCTGTGAGCTTCCCCGGCACTGCTGCGAGTCCCCTGCACTGCACTGCGCACGACTCAGAGGAGGCTGTACCCACTGCAAGGGCCACCACTGGACTTAGGGAGGCTCGCTGCCAGCTTCCCGTTTTGCTGCAGGTACTGAGATGAGGCTGAAATCTGAATCTCCCTAATTCACAGCTGTATCTTAAAGGTAACTTTCTGTGCTGTCTGGAAACGGGTGCTGAGCACACCCCCGCAG